ACAGCAGCCGGTACCGGTCGCTCGCATGGACATCGCACCCGCACCCGTGGGGGATTCAACACCCACACTTTTCCAGCTGTTTTGCTCACCTCCACACCAGTCTGGTTTCTTTATGTCGCACTCTCTCTGTTTGCCTCATCTCCTTCTTCACCTCCACTTCTGACAGCCGATGTCGGGTTTCCAGGAGAGCAGGAGAGGGAGGGACGGAGGAGCTCGACTGAATTCATAATTTTACATCTTGACATTAGCTGTACAAAGTCTGAGTTTGATCAAGTGAAGAACAACAATTTGCAGAGGTTATAACAGGCGCGGCGCCAGGTTTTCATTTTTGGGTGGGCCACGGTAATTCTGGACGGACCTTAATAAGCAGTGACTTAAGTGAAGCAGGCAGGTCGCGCTAGAAAATTTAGCTTAAAAAGACATCATAAATGTTTTCCCCCGTCATTTTTATTTCTAAAATATGAAGTAAAAACTCCCAATTTAATTTTCATTCATTTGTCATTAATATGTAGTCTACACCCGTGCGTTAAGTGGACCATCTTCCAGTAAACGCACAGCATCCAGTCCACCTCTCCAAATGCGTAAAATGTGCATCAGCCGCTAGTTAGGCGTGCCGCGCGCTCCATCAGCTACGTCAGCCCAGACAAGAGCAGAGCAACTAGAGAAAGAATAGAGGATAATTGTGTCTGGATGTGGATGGAGATTACATTTTACAGCAGCCTGATCTTCATTTAAATACGTAAACCATCACCTGTCTTCTAGTCCACGCTATCAGCATTATTTTAATTGGTGTGTGTGTGTGTGTGTGTGTGTGTGTGTGTGTGTGTGTGTGTGTGTGTGTGTGTGTGTGTGTGTGTGTGTGTGTGTGTGTTTTCCACTTCCAACACTGGTCTAACCAACCAGACCAGCGTGTCCAGTAACATATTAATGTTACAATTAAACAGTTTCACTTCATGTAGGCTAGGAACATTTCACCTGCCGTGGCCCGACCGCTTCTGCTCCACATAAACTTTGTGCGTGATCAAATGTCTCTACAGGTGCTTTCTGAGCTGAAGAGCTATTCTGCCTCAGACTGCGTCATGCGTCTCCATATTAGAGACGGGAAAAAGCGCTGTTCAGCCAAAGTTGAATAATTTCATAAAAAGAACATTTTTCCAAGCTCATCCATGCGCATCAGTGTGCGTGGGGGAATTCTTTCAAAACAGCCAGCATCCTTGAGTTTATCCGTCAAAATAAAAGTCTAATATAAATATCTGTAACCTGCCATTTAACTGTTTTGCCTTCTTGTGAAGATTGTTGCAAAGAGAAAAAACTAAACTTGATTAACCCCAGAGCCGTGCGCACTGGGCTGTACGTCGTGACTGTAAATGAGGGGAAATGATTTAATCGGATCCTTTTCTTTTCAACATGGTTTAATGTAAAGTTTCATTCAGTACAAACTTTAGTTACACCAATCTAACGAGACAGAGCCTGGATTTGTATTCTGAACAGTTTAAACATGTTTAAAACGGAGACATGCGTGACGCGTCTAAAATTCGCACCTGCTCCGCTATTATGGAAATTAAACTAACAGGATGTATAACATCAAATTATTTTAGGCACAGACAACATCTCCCACACTTTTGAAAATCTTGCAACGCGCCTGGTCGCTCGTGTATATCAAAGTTATCTTTCATAAGAAGATATTCAATAAAACGATTTATATAAAGTGGATCCAGAAGTTGTAGCCCGTCTCTGCCTACAATATTTTGATATTTTTCACCCTGTTGGTGGTTTTACTGAGCAGGTGCCACTTTTGTCTTACGTTTCTTTTTAAAACATGTTTAGACTGTTCAGAATACAAATCCAGGCTCTCAGAACCAGAGCGCATGTGGGAAGGTTCCTCCCACTGAAGCGAGTGTTTTTCAAACCCTGTCTCTCAGAGACTTGTCACTTAGAAAATGTTCCCTGATTATGAAACTTTGGCTGAATAGCGCTTGTTCCTGTCTCCAATGTGGCGACGCATCCAGGAGCCGTCTGAGGAGAATCCCAGAATCTCACATCCTCCAGCTCAGGAAGCGCATTTAATTACGCACAAGCGTGACGCGTCAACCCGGTCTCACAGTAAGACCGGGTTGGACCTGTTCAGGTTTACGCAGACAATCTTTACATTTAGAATTAGCATACAGGTGTAAAATTAATGCAGTAAAATATAAAGCATTTTATTTAAATATCCATTCATTATTTTACAAGCACAGAGCATCAGATGGATGGAAGAGCCGCATGCGGCTACAGAGCCGCCGACCCCTGTGCTAGCCTATATTGTCCCCAGCAATTTTTAAACCCCACTCAAGTGTATGGTTATTGTCCCCAGCAATTCTGAAAACAAACTGACGCCCTTGGGTATCTCCCAATCTTTGGTAAGTCAAGTTTCTCCAGGAAGTCTTTCATGAGTTTGGGGCTTACCTGGTAAGATTGATGGTATAAATCTCTATAATGGTTTCTAAATTTGGTTTAGATCTCTTTCGGTTCCTTAATAGTTAAATTTGTATCATTGTCTCTAATCTTTTAGATTGTCCTGTCCGCTTCTAGTTTTTTCATTCTTCTAGGTAGTTGTTTCGATGCTCGCGGCCCTAATTCATGGTGGGACTGTTTTTAAAATCCTAGTCTTCTTCTCAGTTTCTGTAAGCAATAATTCATCCAAGTTATCTTTTGTTTTCTTAATTTTTGAGATAAGTGACAAGTCTTGTTCCTTTTTGTGTTGTTGTTTGACAAGTTTACCCATTTCTTGTTTACAAGTTTTTTCCTTGTTTTTCTTATATGCTGCCATTTTGGCGATCAACTTACCCCTCATAACAGCTTTAAGAGCATCCCACAAGATAGTAGGAGAAACCTCTCCATTGTCATTTTCATCTTGGTAATGTAAAATGTATTTCTTTAGCTCTTCAATATCGGATTTACTATTAAGTAATCCAATTTTTAACCTCCACATGATGTTTTTACGTTGTTCTTTTTATTTGATATCAAGATGAATTGCACAATGATCTGACTGGTCTGATTCTAAAATTTCACATGCTTTAACCCTGTAAAAGTCTTTTTTGTTTATAAAAAAAGTAGTCAATTCTTGCGTAGCTATTGTTTGGAGCAGAATAATGAGTATAGTCTCTCTAAGAGGGGTGTAAATCTCTCCAAACATCTACTATCCCATATTCCTTAAACAATGCTTTGATTGTTTTGATAGTGTGATTATAACTTTTGTTCTTATTTGTTGTGTATAATATATTGTCCATAACTAAATTAAAGTCTCCTCCACATATTAATATCCCTTCCATTTCTAGAACCATAATATCGAACAGAGCTTTAAAGAAAGATTTATCACTGTTGGGCGGGGCATATACGTTAACCATTGTGACCATTATTTCCTCCATCTTTCCTTTCACTAACACAAATCTTCCTTCTTTATCTTTAATCTCTTCAAAACACTCAAATTTTACTGTATTGAGAATAAGGATAATCACCCCTCTCCTACACCCTTGTTGGAAAGAACTATAATATGCTTTTGTATAACCAAATCTCTTGAGTTTCTCACTTTCCTGTCTAGATAGATGAGTTTCCTGGAGAAAAACAACTTGTGTCCTATCTTTTCTTAGTTTGGCCATTGGCTTTCGTTTTACTGGGTTGTTTAATCCATTAATATTCAATAACAATACATTTATGCTTTGATCAACCATAACCTTTTATGCAGTAGAGTGGCAATCCTCTCAACAAAAAAGAAAATGAACCTTTTTACAAAACATAAACATTAAACAATGTGACTTCCAAATACAGGATACATTACAATGTACAGGATACACGATACAATATATCCTGAATTTGGAAGACAGGTTCTATTTTCTATTTTATGGTGAGCCGCTTCTCGGACACGCCAATTTCTGGAGGTAACATAGGGCTAGACAGGAAATCACACACAGTTTCTGTGTAAAACATCTTGAACTTTTAAAAATAAAAGACTATTGCAACAACGCAGTTTCATATCTATGTAGATGGCATCAATTTGTGTGACCTAACAGTTGTCTACTGCCTGCATCTTTTGAGAACTGCAACATTGTTTTCTTCATGGCTTTAATCCAGAGGAACAACATAAATAACATTAAACGGTAACATCAAAAGTGATTTTTTTTTTGTTTAATAGCGGATGGCATAAACAAACCGTGACCTTTGAAGTCTCAAGGGATCTTACGCGAGGGAGACAGCAGAGAAGCCACTCTACGGCTGAGATTCTCCCGGTGTGGACTGGCGGGCAGCACAAGTAAACTGTTCTGCTGCCGTTCCGCGCCGCTGATGCCTCCAGTGTGAAGCAGGGGTCACTCCACCCACAACATCTGTTTGAAAATGCCCCACAAGGAAGCGCTGCCAGGTGGACTGTGAGGGCGGGTCTGTAGCAGTGAGTGAGGATTTTTACAGATTTAAAAACCAGATCATGTAGTTGCAAGACTTTTCTTAGTGACAAATTACACTCTGATTGAATAAAGTATCCTGTAACCAAGTGATCCATGTGACCATTTTTCATTTTTCATCTTTTCATAATATTGCACATTTTCACAGGTGTATCAATAAAAATCTCCACTGCTTACTCTACAGCATGCTTTTGATAAGATGAGAATGAAAATAAAAATCTAGTTATAGAGAACTGCTTCCCATAAATAAGCCAAAGAACTGCATTTGATATGTTATCAAACACCTTGTTCAATAATTTAGAAATGTTTTTATTCTCATAAAAAGTATAAACTATTTTTTTACATCCCGTTTTTATTGAGTTCTATTTCAGCTTGTTGTATGTGTTTTTATATCTTCCCTATACTTATTGCATTTTGCTTAAATTTGCTTTAATGGATATTAAAAAAGAAATTAAAGTTCAACTTAGATGACTCAAATTTCCGAGCAAAGCCCGAACGCAGCACTGGTTCGTTTCGCTGCCAGGAGGAGAATCTCGTTTCTCCTCTTCATCAGCTCGTGGTAAATGATGCGGTCAGCTGATTGGCTGCCTGCAGCTGACTTATGCTCCATCCTGCACGCCGATTCTCGCAGAGCCGGACTGAGAGCTCCCAGTTAGCACTCCTCCTGGTTACCTCCTCACACACACACACACACACACACACGCTCACACACTCAGACACACACGCGCGCACACAGACACACTCATGAGTCGCGGCTGCACGCACCACCGTCCGCTGAAACCGGCTGATTTCACCTGAAAGAGCCGCGCGTCGGGACACCAAACTGCACTATGCGTCACCGCAGGTTATTATCGCTTTTGCGCTCTTTTAGGAGGTAACCGAGGAGGTGTCACGCGCATCACTATGGATTGCCTTTTTCTTCTGATATGGTGTTTACCCATGATGCCGCTGGCCGGCTGCACCCCAGTCAAGCTGCTCTCCACCCTGTTGACCTGGAGCTTCTTCAAGGCATGCTGCACTTTATCTACTTTGATGTTCAGCACGTGCAGTTTGGATCAAAGATAAACAACGTTATTGATGACAGCAGCGCTGCCTTTGATATTATTGTGGTGAAAAGGGATGCCAAATAGGAACTCCATTCATCACAAGTTCTCCCACTGCTGCAACCTGTTGCTACCTGTTCATTTATGCATTTGTTCCTCTCCCTTCTTTCCTTTTTTTGCAGACTCTGCACATCTACTGCACACACGCCTCCCACTCTGCTCCAGCCAGCTCTTCTTCCATCCACAGCCACGGATTAAACCATGGTGAGTGCATGTTTTTTGACATCTGTGAATGTTTCTTCCAGCTGGCACGGTGCCGGGTTTGTAGAGAGAATAAAATGAGTTACATGGCAGCTTCACTTAACTCCCCAGAGAGGAAGGCTTAAGTGAAAACAGTTCAAACAAGCTCATCGCCCTGCAGAATCACATGCCAGCTCAATGTGTAGTGATACTGTTCAGAACCCTTGTTTGGATCTTTATATTGTTGCTTCACTCAGCATGAAAGGCTCTCAGAGCAACCCTCATTCAAGGATTCCCTCTTGGCTGCTTCGTCTTGCAGAAATTGTGGAGCTGATTCAGAGTGCTCCATCCTGGGAAAAGATCGCAGAGAGGGATGCAATAAAAACATCAGCTAACATCCATAATGATCAGTTTATTCAATGGTCGGCCAATTGGAATCTCAAAAATCAGAGTTTCTTTAGTTTGTTTTTGTTTGAATGCAAAACAGAAAAACCATCTAAAAGGTTTCTGAGAACCCGCCACCACTAAGTACATTGTCATATTAACCACACTACAGGTGTTTGTTTTAATGTTTTTTTACGTTTATTCTTGTAATTTCCACATTAGCCAGACTTTTTAAGTACACTGTTACATCTTTTGACATAAATCATCCAAAATCAAATGTAGCGAATCTTGACTACAAAAATCAGAATTCCGTGTCAGCTCTCCAAACCATAATCAGTGCATCTGTAATCATAATAGCCATACATGAATATGCAAAACAATTAGTCATCCAGTTTGAAAAGGTGCTGCATTTCTTCCTGCTCTTCAGCTGAAACCACAACAAGAACACCGGCTGAGTTGCTGCAAAGGCAGAAAAGAGCCGCTTTCGGCAGGGGAGGGTCCAAGCCCAGGTGTTTATGAATGGATGCACATTGTGCCATGTCCTTTTGCAACAAGCCACTTCTTGGTTCATTAATGCTCCCAACTGATGCAGAGCGGGGCCGGGACTCTAAATAATATTTAGGTCAATATGGAGAAAAATAAACAATAATAACAACAGTAATTTTTGAATGTTCTGTACAACCAATGTTTAGGGTACATGCTGCCACCTGCGGTTTTTGGGTTCATAACCCCAAACTTTTTGTGGACAATATAAAGAAAATTTCAACTCATTCGCCTTTTTTACAAGACAATGCTGTCAATTTGCTGCAAGCGCTCCAGTTTGTCATCTCAGCTGATTTTGTTAAAAAAGCAAAACCTATTGCTCGTGTTTACTTTCATTTTCAATAGATTTGCTGGTCGGAGCTCACCATGGCGCGATAAGCGAGACGGAGTGAATGCCGCAAAATTCGCGCAACACAATGCCGTTGTGACACGTAGACACAGTTGCGGTAATATTACACCAATTAGCTGGCACGATGTGTCTCGTAAAAAAGGCTGCTGAGGTGGAAACTTGAGTGGCCAGTCAGATTCCAGTGGTGCCGTGTGCTACCCCAGGCCACTCCCTGGACACAACCCTGCCGCTGGTGTCCAAGCAGGAAGTTAAAATAAAGTGGTTGTTTTTATGGGAAATTGGGACCTGGAATTAGAGCAAACCATGAGGGGTAGTAAATGAAAATAGTGAAAAAGATTTTGGGATTCGTGTCATTTAAAGCTGTTTTAATGAATTTACAGAACAAGCTCCCCTTGAGTATCTTCCCTGAGATGCTTCTGCCTGAACCAGAAACCCACAAACCTCTCACACCAGTAATGTTTTGTTGCTAAATGCATGTGTGTAATTAAGGGAGGAGCCAGGGAAGTGTGGCGGTTCGGCGAGACGGACAAACAAATGGTCCAGTCATTGCTGTCGGTCTGAAACGTGTTATTGGTGGAGGCTTTTAGGCGAATGCGAGAAAACCACTTAATAACTTTTTACATTTTTTAATTCTCCACAATATATTAATACTATGTTAGACCGTTGTTAGAAGGCATGAAAAAAAATTAAACCAATTTGTTTTCCATATTTGCTATTGCAGTGTTTTGCCCTCATTCTGCCATCCTCATTTGTGCTGATTTTTAAAAACGTCACTTAAAATACACAAGTTTAGCCTTTAGAAAGGGCAGAAGAGTTTTGAAGGCATGAGAGGTACTTTCTTGTTTACATTTAGGTTTTTGTGATCATTTTCAGCTAAAATTGAAATACTTTACTACTACTTTATTAATACTTTTGAATTGAAATTCAAAAAAATCTTTGAGACCTACACTGTTAAATAGTTTTTAACCTAAACGATAGGAAACCAAGCTGTGTGTGTGTGTGTGTGTGTGTGTGTGTGTGTGTGTGTGTGTCAAAGTGAGCACCAATGACAAACTTTTCACCTGTAAACTGAGGACATCAGTAGCAAAGTGAGGACACTTTGCTGGTCCTCACTTTGGTGCAATGTTACAGAGCTCAACTCGTTACTTTTAAAGGTTTGGTGAGAATTAAGTTTTAGTTAGGTTTAGGGATAGACTGGTTTGAGTTAGATTTAGGGTTAGGCACAAGCGAGTCACTAAAATAAATGGAAGTCAATGACGGTCCTCACAACAAATAGGTATTTCCCATGGAAATTCTTTTTGTGACCTCCTCATCGTTTTCCCTCAGACTACGTGTTTGTGACGCCTGTGGAGGTGGACGCTGATGGCTCATATTTGACCCACGATATAGCCAGGAGAAGTCATCGCAGCAGGAGGTCCCTGTCTACGTCTTTGCACTACCGCCTCTCTGCCTTTGGGCAGGACATGCACCTGGACCTGCGTCCGTCTTTTGTGGTTGGCCCGGGATTCTCCATTCAGACCATCGACTCAGATGGCATCTCCACGGTGACGGGTGATGAGAGGTTTCACCACTGCCTGTATCAGGGATTTATCCGCAACCTGTCAGCCTCTTCAGCAGCCATATCCACATGTTCTGGACTGGTAAGAGTCTGTCTGCAACCTCATGTTCTGAAATCACATGTCTTATTGAAACGCAACTGCTGTGCTTCAGATAGTCACAATCACTCATTTGAGCTGAGAGAAATACGCTTGTTTTTACTGTGTCAAACAGATTTCCTCTAAACAACAATATAATAATCAGTTTAATCTATCATGTAATTAATTATAAACATATAGCAGTAAAAAAAGAGGACTCTTAGATCCTCCACTTGAGGGTAGTAGACATGCAAAGGACTGGACATGACAGGTTTGTCTCAACGGTACTAATCCTGATTCTACATCTGGAAGCAGTTTAGTGTGATGGATGTTTAATGTGAGTCGTAGTGGCAGTCTACAAGTAGTCAAAGACACTTGTTGAACATGTTGAAATGCATTCAAATTATAACAACGTACAATTATATCCGTTTTAGAAAGCTTCTTGACTGACCTCAGTTAATAGAAATGGAGTTTATGTCTTTCACGTCCACTACGCTCCAAACCAACATGTGCCACTGCTGTCCTAAAATGACACATCTTCAAACTACCAGATGTTCATCCACCATTAGATTAAACGCATTTTGTGTGCCATCAGTTTTACATTCCACAGGTTTTTGTATGGAGTTCTGGTTACTGACAGGTCTAAATGTTTTCTGGAGCATCTAATCAGGCAGTAGTTTATTTATTCTTAACATTTAGTTTAATGTTTGTAGAAGCTGCTGTAAAACTCAGTAGACTGGTGCCATTCAGCGTAGAACACGGGTCTGGACATGGATTCCTTCATGGCAGTTTAACCAGAGGGGTTAAGCTTAGTTTATGCTTCTGCATAAACTAACTTAGTTTATGTTTATGCAGCAATTTTCTAGGGGCCACCCCTTGGGGGCGCGCTTGGGTTCATGACAGGATACTACAGAACAACGCTACGCCCTCTGTTGTCCTGGCGGGAAATAGCTTTGCAACGCTCCCCAGGAGACGGAGAAGTCTGAGAGTAAAATGTCTCCGGCAAGGCGCATGTGTCCCTCATGGAGCTGACAGAGAAGCATAAACTAAGCTTTAGTCTAAACCAGCAGTTCCCAAACCTTTGGGGGCCAGGGACCCTTTACATGTTGTGACCAGTTTCACCATTCATTCCTCTCTGGGGCATGTGATACCCACCCTTTTGTACTTTTTTATTTTTAAAGGAAGCTTGCTTTGTTAGTAGAGACCACTTTGTTTAGCTGCTGCACTTGAAGACATACAACCCATTTTAGTCTTCCATCGTCTCTCTCAACAAAGTCAGACTTGAGAGGACTGTTGTCAAACTTCTAATTTCAGGTGGTTTTGCATTACTTGATGAAGTGGATGGTCTTGTGACTGTGCCCACTATGCTAAATAAACCAACCCCAGGAGATGCAAAAGCAGTGCGTGTTCAGGTCTCACTCTGTGTGTTTCACAGTCCCACAATCAAAACAGCTACCGGTCTAAATGGACCCTCGGAAACCAGTTCCAAACTCTTAAATGACACAGATTCATGCAAACATTATCTTTTCACCTTTAGCGGTTATTTAGCGTCACGTGGTTGTTCAGACTGAATCTTTTAGGAATTCCTGACTGACTCGACCCCTGGACACACCGGCTTCCTCAGATTATCTACTAGCTAGCATTTCTGAAGGATGTAAACTATTTTACCACACAGAGGCCAATTCAGGTGCTATCTAGCTATTTATAACTTTTTCAAGAACTTATTTAAATTGTATAAAAATGTGCTCCAACAGAAATGTTTCTGATACTGTTTTAAAATGAAAAGTATTCTGAATATCCCCAAGCCTGTCTTGTCACAGATGTTTGGATGATCCGATCCACAGTTCAGACGTGACAGCATCTTGATCCTCACTGATTTACACCAACTCCACCCAGTCAAGATGCTTCTATTTCCCCCATAACTGCTGAGATTCTGCATTTACAAGATCCTTCACTTTCATTTGTGGTTTATGAGCAGCCTGGGCCCAGCAGAACTAGCACATTCCTCGACACATCCCATGCCGCCTTGGAGTAGATGGACACGTTACACCGTCACGAACCTTATAGGTCCATTAATCATGCAGGCTTCACAGGTCCTCTCACCTCCTTCTCCTGCGCTCGCTCTGCTCTTTTGTCCCCTGGTTGCCCTGCCTCTATGTTTCCTCTTGTTCACAGCAATTAAAGCCGGGGTGAAGTTTGAGCCGTCTGGCCGGCACTGCTAATCTGTGCACTGTCCCTTTCATTAGGCTTGCTTCCACTCACAATAAAACACCACTGACCCGTTCACTTAAAAGCGCTGTGAGGACACAATGTGAGTGGGTTGTGATGGCACTTGAATGGGCCAGTATAAATGTTTTGATCTATTTTTTACTCCTCCCAAACTTTTACAAGATGTTCCCCCTCTTTTCCTCACCCAGAGGCTGACCTTTGGGCTACCAGTTGTTGAATCACTTCTCTTGGACTTTTGCTTTTTTTTTAAGCCGAAAACGACAAAAACAAAGAACAAAAAAAAAAAAAAAAAGAGTAAGTGCAGACTTGTGTTTTCCTTGCACCACATCCGATTCTGTATGTTAGGCTGGTCCAAGGGTTTAGACAGCAAAAACAGTCTAACCTGGTTTAAATCAAGCCTTAAGTCTAGAAAAGTGGTGTTGAAACTTTGAGATAATGGCAAACATTTTTCTAACCTTAACCCAAACTTCACAAAAATTATGACGTATTATTAAAACGGCAAAAGACTTTAGGGTTGAACAGGACATTTGAATATAAACAGTTCAACAAGTTACAATTGTCACGTGAAAAGAAAGTATTCGGAATAGATTAGTAAATCTGTGAAGATATAAGACATTAAAAAGGGTTTTGTACAGTCGCCTTAAATTTTACAGTGAAATAAGCACCAAACTAATGTCTCAGTCATGTTGGAAGGAAGGTTCCATAGAAACAGATTTCATTTTTAGCCAGGTGGGTGGGTTCATCTCCCTTCAAAATGGTCAAAGAGGTACATAGTTAAAGTTTACACCCTGTGAGCCTGCAGGTCTGCTGAGTCTGTTTGAGCTAACGCTGCAGCGCCTCTGCAGCGCCAGCATTTGTAATTTGACACCAGCCAGCCCAAAACAAACAGGAGCGACCCAGAAGTTATTTCTTGTTGTTTTACTCTAAAATCGGGTAAAAAGGCTAGAGGCTAATGCTTCGCTAACCGTGCACAACTCGTCTTTGCTCGTCACTTAGAACCTTCCCGCGCTGAACTGTAGCTGCATGAAACTCACAGAATGGTAGTGAGAAAGGAACTCGTGTGTTTAATGGGCTGCCCTAACAAAATGTGACTGTAGGATGCCATTCTTAATTCATTCTAACATAATGCACCTTTAATGAAAGAAAGGTATCGGAATCCTGGAGCTGACGGGTTGATTGTTTTTTAGTTTTCTGTTCTATTATAAGCAACAAGAAATTGATCCATGTCACTGCTTCATCAGTAATGTTTGTATTTATTTTAATTTATTTGGCAGACACTTTTATCCAAAGTGGCGTACAATTGTTAATCCATAGGGCGTGTTGTGATCTGTGGGGGAAACCGGAGTACCCAGAGGAAACCCACGCATGCATGGTGAGAACATGCAACTCCACGCACAAAGGCCGCAGCCAGGCTTTGAACCTGCAACCTTCTTGCTGCGTGGCAACAGTGCTAACCACTGTGCCACCACGCAGTTAGTCAAATTATGCAAATGGTGATGAAAAATCAGCTGTTTAGGGTATTTCAATGACAATTACTGGTTCAAGTTACCAGGAAATAAAATAAAATAAAATAAATGCTCAGTTAAAGGAAAATGGATCACATGCCACATGTTTGACAACCCTGTTCTAGAACATCCATCCATCCATACCTGCTTGTTATTTTACCTGGTTGCCAGGGAACTGAAGCCGAAGTCCAGCTCTCATTGGATGAGAGGTGCGGTAAACCCTGGACAGTCTGTCATAGGATCTGTCTAGAGCACATCTAAAGCCTTTTGGCCTGTCTCCATATGCTGATTGAGTAAGAGATTAAGTTAGAATTGAAGCACAATCTTGTAGCGAGAGAGCTAGGAAAACAGATGACAAGGAAAGCTGGGGAGAGAGAGAGATAGAGAATCTGAGCTGAGATATACTTGGAGCTCTGCACAAGAGAGTGGAAGTGTTGTGCACCAGTAATGTGGATGTATTGTATGGGTTGAAGCTCCCAGAGAGACTTGGTGGTCTCTTTAAAGATCCTGATGAGTCCATCACTTTCTTTACAGAGAACTATGGGTTTACTTGATGTCAAACGACTTTGAGGAAGATGGGTTTGGGAAAAAGAAGGGTGGGGGTGTAAAGGAATAGACCTTCTCTGATCTTTATTGTCTTCTTTCAACAGAGATGAGGAAAAGAGAGAAAGGGGCTTGTAAAAGGGTCTGTAAATATATAACAGCCTAGGTGTCAGTGCTTCTGGGCTGAAACATGGCAAGGACCTTTTAACAGAAGGAAGCTGCTAAAGTGAATAGTAGGGCAGGGTGGTTTTAAGAGCACAGTTGGATGGATTGATGACAACGTGGGATTTTCTACTGTAAGCCCCCAATGATAGCACATTGCATTTTCTGATAGTGGGCTTTAAATACTCCCTCTGTCTTTAAGGAGCACCGTGATTTTGTTTTTTAATCAATATGTTTCTCAGTGTTTCAGGAGGTATGAAAGTATGTCATTTCAGACATAATGCTCTCTGAGTTGTAAGAGAAGTGCATAGGGCGTGGTGATTGGGGGTCTTGTTATTTTGCTTTGGGTCTCACATCTGAGGTCGCAGGGCTGCTTGACCCCAATCCTTCCTGCTTGGGTGTATGGGGGCTGGTGGGGGTTGACCTCACAGGTTGTCGAGCAAGTTCAGAGCTGCTCAGCGCCCCAGCAAACGCAGAAGCCTGAAATGATTTACAGCTCCAAGCCCCCTCCTAAGATAGGATTCTGCTTGTTGGGGTCTGTTTCAGACTGTGCATGCTATCCAGGCT